TACTGAGGCAGTGGTAAAACATATAGTCTTTTTGTGTCAATAAAGACCATGATCTAACAAGCAAAAAGGAATATTTTAAGTACATTTCTTTCCAAATTACTGCAAAATTATTAGTCTCTTTACAAAATAAGGACATTTGAAAAATTAACCGCATGCTAATTTAGTAGCCTTGATCATTCCTACAAACCTTTGAGTTTTAGAATTTTTGCTCCCTGTGAATATGTTCATCTTACAAAGTTCAGTTACTTGTATTGCTGTTTCTAGTTTTAATATTTAATTTATTTTAAGAAAGGCCCAAATTATGTGAATGATACCTGGAAAATGACAGATTTTACAGTTATTTTAGAATTATATACTTCATTTCAGCATTAATGTCATAAATAATTCCTAGGAAGCTTCACCTTTGTGATTATCACCTATTGTTTAGATACAAATGTATAAGTTTTAGATTTTTCAATAAATCTGTTTAACACAGCAGTACTCTGCTGTCCTGTCTCCTGTCTCCCCATTAACTGTACATTAGACTTTTGGTAAAGAGGGGTAGCAGTTATATCTGTTTAATTTAGAAACTGTTAAGATATAACTTTAATATTCCTATATTAGAGGTTTTTAAAAAAATAAGAGGCATTTAACAGTAAATTGAATTTAGCAAATATTAATTGACACATTTAATTTGTGAAATGTACTATGCAGATCCTGTGCATATATATTAAAGAAAAAGATACAGATTCTGCATTATTAGTGCTCAGCTCTATTAGAAAAGATGTTTTGCAGACTATGATAAATTCAGGGGATGAACAAATATGCATGAGTATCAGTGGAAGAGAGTTGAGATGATGGTGAGACCAAAGAAGGAGGATTTGGGTCAGACCTTGAAGATTATTATTAACATTTATCTAGTCTTCAAGAAGAGGAGCACATGATTTTATATATTAAGTGCATTACTAAAATTAGAGTATAGGATATAGTATCTCTAAAAACTCATTTTTATTTCAGAAGTAATTTTATACTGAACATGTTTTAGTTTTCTGAGATGTAAATCTGTCTGTCTGATTTCATGGCTAGAAATTTTATGGAATGTCTAGGAAATTTTGGTTTTCTCTGTCTTCCTTGACTGTTTCTTTAGGTGTTTCTGGGTAGATTATGAACAGAAGACTAATTTTTAAAAAAATTCCGAAGTCCACCTCATTGGTAAAAACCAGTCTGATTGGTTGCTACTCACTTTGGAATTTGCTCATTAACAGTCTGAACTATATTTCACAAGTTTCCTATTCTTTGAGCTCATGGAAAACAGTTACACTGTAACATTGAGGTGCTA